GGGGGGGGGGGGCTTGATCCGCCCCTACGGCTGCGAACTTGCTTCTGCCAGAAACCGATTAAAAGACGAGACTTCCGATGCAAGATCTGGCAATGGAGGTATCAAAACGCGTCGGCGAGGCTAGCTTTTCGATTCGCGTCTCGCAGTCGGCCGGTCGGATGAAAAATAAAACTGGCCGGTCGTGATCGTCTCGATTGTATCCGCTGCAAACTGGTTGAATCCAGAGCGGATTCAATTCGCTCATGTTGCAATTAAAAGGAGAAAAAACTTATATTTACACAAGTGCGACGAACTTACGCCCCGGGCGATGGCGGACCAGTGCGAGTGCGTCGCTTTACGACTTTTACCGCGCGCCCGCTCATTTCCGTCGCGAAACCGGATTTCGATAGTTTTCTATGCCAACCCGCGGGTCGCCGCGAGACGCCCTGAAAATCGAACCCAACAGCCAATAGTCGCCTTTCCAGCAGGTCTTTTGAGAGGTGCACACAATTGGTCAGTTGTGCTGGTCAGAGAATCATATTTCGATGCTTGATTCTTGTAGATCAGCTTGAAATAATAAGATCCATCCAAACAGCAACTTTCTACGCTGAATATTAACCGAGATATCGCTCTTTGAGAAATTCAGTTTATGACATCATCTAACGCGGTAGTGACACCCTTGACTTCCACCTTGCTTTCATCTGTCAGGATGGCACACATTTGCACTGGTTACTCAACGTGAAACTCGGATGGAAGCAAAATAGAAGAGACCAAGGTAATCACTATCGCGGTGGATGACGTCATAAACCGAATTTTTCAAGGCGGATATCTTGATTAATATTGAACGTAGAGGGCTGCTCTTCGGACAGAATTTGTTATTTTTTGCCAATCTATACAATAATCAAACATCGAAAACATTCTATGACCAGCGCAACTGACCCGTTACACGCTACAATCGCGCGGGTAACAGATTTTTCTCGGGTTCCTTTCCTTTACCGAGAATTTAATAATTAATTAATTTTTCCGAGAAATCCTTTAGCTTTTTGTCTTCTTCGTTCCCGTTCTTACTCTCTCTTTTTCTTCATCCCCTTCTCCTAATTCTTTCTCGTCTCTTTTTTCATATTCTACATTTCCTTTTTTTCCTACATCTTCTTTTCCTCTCCTTCTTCTTCTTTTTTTGGTTCCTCAAAATTTGATTCAAATTTTCATTGGTGAATACTTGGTTTTATTTCTATCCTTAAAATTTTCAATATAAAACATACCTCATATACATAAATATTCCATTTTTTAATGAAAATATTACTTCATGTTAAAAACATTTACATTTTTAAAACGAGGCAAATATTTGGAAAACCTTTTCCAAGCTACGGCATCTTTATTAATCTCAACGAGCCGAAAACTAGTCGAAAAAACACGCAATTTTTGATTTTAACCCGTTTAAATCGATATTATTGGGTCAAATACGTCCATTTTTGAGTACGCATGAGGTTGCGCTTACAACATGCTGCAGTACAGTAAAAGCACAAAATATAAAAGGAAAAATTTAAAACTTTTGAAATCAATACACTTGACACGGAACCACCTCAATATTTACATAACACACATTATACATTCCTTTAATGCATATTTTTCTCCAATCAATTTAAATGAGAATAATCCATGCAGAGTATGCAAACATTTCATAATAATGAGTTGAAAATCGTCGACTACAAACGTTAAAATATTAGCGCCTAACACAGAGCGGAGTGGCCAGCCTACTGCCATGCCAGCGCGACATGCGCACGAGCGCCTACAAACCTAACAGGGATACTTCACGCATTGCGCAATGCGTGAAGTATCCCTGTTAGGTTTGTAGGCGCCGATGTGCGTGTCGCGCTGATCGCCCTTGTCCGCCGCGCCGCTCGCCGCGGCGTGCCACGACACTGCAAGCAACTATTTCGCAACAGAGGTGTTGCAAGGTAACATACGAAATTGAAGGCGCTTCAACGTATCAAGAGAGACAGGCATCCTTTAAGAGTAAGTCCTAGCATCTGTATTTAATAATGTTTAGCAAAATTGTTGAATATCATTACAGAAAAAAATGACTCGATCTAGGCAGAAACATTCTTAAGTAAGCCATCAAGAAGATTTTGTTTTGAATCAAGAATTAAATTGCTGGATGAAAGCGGGTTTCTGCTTATTGTAACTAACTTTTCTTTTTATAAAAGCATCTGTTCTTCTTTACACAAGCATTCTTTTCTTTATTGATTCATAAGAAATTCTTCTCGGTGGTAAATTTGAGCATATTTCTGCTTAGATCAAAGGACTGTTTCCTCTTGTGAAGTTCAAAAATCATGTCAAGCACTTGACAAGGCGCATCCAGGTCTGTTAAGTATAAGAGCACTGAGTGGGGGGGGGGGGTTAATTATGACAAAATAGTTGATTTAGGAAAGGTGTCACAAAGCACCAGAGAGCGCTGTAAAAGCGCCATGTATAAACGTGTTATGTACCCTCGAGCCCTCGCTGAAAGTTCGACAAAATTGCACTGAGTGTCATCGATTTTTGCATTTGTTTGACCGTGACCCATTTCCGCTGTGGGGCACCTGAAGATGCAGAAAGACGGATCCACGACTTCCGACTGCACTCGTCACCGACCATAACCTTCTTGAAGCGATCACTTCGCGAGGCAT